GCCAACACTTTTTCACACCACTGTATATATATATATATATATAAATAAAATTTTTACTTTAAATTTTAGTTTTAGTACTTTTTAAGACTTTATTAAAATAAAATAAGTTTTATTTTTTATTTAAATTTTAGTTTTAGTACTTTTAAGACTTCATTAAAATTAAAAATAAAATAAGTTTAGGTTCACGTTTTTCATCTAATATTTCTAATTAATTTAGCTTTTTTAATTTTATTTCAATTTTTAATAGCTTTTGTACTATTATTCAATGCCATATTGGTATTTATTAATATTTCATCATTAATATTCTTTTGTTTTAAATATTTCTATTAATCTTTAATTTATTTTATTTTAATTTTAGTTTTAGTAGTTTCAGCACTTTAACCTAGACCTATATAATTTCTCATTTTTGTTTTAAGTTTTTCTTCTAATTTTTACATTTTATTTTATTTTCATCACCAAAAATTATTTTTAATTGCTTTAATGGTAACAGTTTACAATAAGGCCCCATTTGTTAACATTAGTTAATGCAAACTAACATTGAGCAATACATTTGTTACAGTATTTATTACTTTGTTAATGTTAGTTAATAAAAATACAACTGTTCATTGTTATTTCATGTCAGCTCAGGTCCGAGTTTATTAGTCATGTGCACAAAAAGTCATGTAACAAATTGTGCATTGAAATGCTTGCAGTGAGGCACAGGTATTAAAATTAATAAATTATTCATATAATAAGTATTTATAAGGTTTTTAAAAAATAAATAAGAGGTCTGTTAAATAATACTAAAATATATAACTTTTACTTTTACTAATGTACTAGTAAATGTTTAAATGAACATTTACTGAGATTAATAAATGCTTTAGAGGTATTTTTCATTGTTAGTTCACGTTAACTTATGTAGTTAACATATGGAACCTTATATAGTTTCAACACCAGTAAGAGATCTTGATTGACTTCTCTCTGTCTGTCTCTCAGGCACTGAGACGTCCACTAACCTGCACCAGAAGCTGTACTATCACGTGTTGGGAACCCCTCAGTCTCAGGACGTCCTGTGTGCCGAATTTCCCGATCAGCCGAAATGGATGAGCGGTGCTGAGGTAAGAAACACACACACAGATGGTGCTTCATTTCTGGTTGTTATGAGGTGAATGACGTGTGTGTGTGTGTGTGTTTTCAGGTGTCTGATGACGGCCGTTATGTGCTGTTGTCCATTCGAGAGGGCTGTGACCCCGTCAACAGACTGTGGTACTGTGACCTGAACGCCGTGCCGCAGGGAATCACTGGTACAGACGCACAGAAACATTATTATTCAGATGAAAATGCTTGCTTTCTGCTGACAGGATCTCATGTATATCTTAATGATGACAGGTTTGTTGCCATGGGTGAAGCTGATCGATAACTTCGATGCGGAGTATGAATACGTCACGAATGAAGAAACCGTTTTCACTTTCAAAACCAACCTGGACGCTCCTCAGTATCGACTCATTAACATCGACTTTGCCCAGCCGCCCATCAGCCAATGGAAAGAGCTCATTCCCCAACACGACAAAGATGTTATCGGTGAGCAGAGATGCTGTTTTAATGAGATCACGTCAAATCAAATTTCACTGTATTTACTTTCTCAATGAATGTCCCTGGTCTTATTGTGCCTAATTCATCTGCAAGTGATTGTAAGAAAAAAAATCTATATTTTCATGATCTCATAATCAAAATGTTACTACTTTTTCCCTCAGAAATATGTCACATTATGGAATTTGAATGTGTTGCAAATTAAGATTTTTTTTTAAAATTCTGTTTAATTTATTTCAATTTGTTGATTTAAAAAGCATAACATAAGATTTTTATTATTTCATTTACGATATTTTACAAAATTTGACAATTTAAAAAAAAAATGTTTTTGGAAAGAAGTCTTGTATACTCACCAAGGATGCATTTATTTTGATTAAAAATCCAGTAAAAACAGTAATATTGTGAAATATTATTACAAT